CCAGGACTGCCATTTCCTTCTCTGCAGAGGTGCTTTCCATATGGTCAACCCCCAGCCTGTACTAATATATGAGGTTGTTTCTACCCAGATGCAGGACTTTGCATTTCCTTTTGTTGAACTTTGTGAGATTGCTCTCAGCCCAGCTCTTCAGCCTATACGGTACTCTCTGAATGGCAGTACAGTCCTCTGTTTATCAGCCTCTCCTCACAGTTTTCCCTGGAAAACGTTACCCTGTTTATCAAAACATGCGGCATAAGATCCGAGGAAAAAACCAACTCAGTATGTTACACAGCACATTGGATGGCCTCAAACTAATCTGCATCAGCAACACCCATCCAGCTTCACTTATATTCTGTTTTTTTACCTATAATGAGAGTTATGAGACACAGATTTGCTTTGAAGTATTCTTTAAGATGCATTGATGTAAAGTACATTTAATGTGTTTTTCCGAATAGCATGGTTACTTCTATTAATAGAAAAATCCATTTTTCCAGATAATGATTAATAGAATCACGCCTGTAGGCCTATTTGCAAATACATGACATAGTTTTGACTCTATTTTGAATATGATTTTCTGTGCTTGTTAGACAAAAAAGAACTGTGATAATTTTAAGAAGTGTTCTTGCTTAGTCCTTAACTGGCTCAATATAATGACGATTTTTAAATTTTCTTTTAATGTTGTAAGTCAGCATGATGTCCTTCATGCTTTAGCAGACCATGCCTCTTCTGCTATTGATAAAGTAGCACTCCAAAGTTAAACATGTCTGTAAACAGTTAAACAGTTACCAGTTGCAGGATTTTACTCTTGAAAGAAATTATTTTCCTCTGTGTTGTAGTTTGCACGAGAATGAAAAGCTAACAAAGATAGTCTTTATTGTAATTTGCTGTGGTGACTGCAATACTGTTTTTGAGGGGAAAAAATATCCGACTTAAATGTTTCTGGAAACAGTCCTCATATGTTTACAGAGATTTTCATAATATGAGCAGCTACTGAGTACATGACCTTTTCACGCATTCAGAGAAGCTATCAATTTTGTATATTGACGTCTTGTGAACCTGCACAGTTTTATCCATGTTTTGGTTCTTGTAGGGATCTGATTAATCTGATACTGCCGAGATAACTTCACATGCACAGTAAACGCTGTTACAAAACAAACTGAATATCGCTGTACATATTGAAGTGATTCATTCAATGCAAGCACAGCTTTATCCAAGTCATTAATGACTCAGTAACGAAACCTGATTCCGTGCTGTTTTGTATCCCGAGTTTTTAGAGCACCGGGTAGCACTTCCAGCCCCCAGTGTTCCCTGCGGCCATGTGTCCCTGCAAAACTCACTGGTCACAACGTTCTTTTTCTTCTCCCTCTGCTTTCCACAACCTCATTGTTCCTCTTCTGTGTCACTGAACTACTGGCTGAGCAAGAGGCATCATGCCTAGGTCCAAGCAAGATGCTGACTGTCAACTGACATGCTTATGCCTTTAACTGTACAGTTCATATTACTGCTTTTGTCTCAGTGAGGGCACAGGTTCAAGTCTTTATTTATCTATCCGCTGTTTCCTTGTCATTAGCTTATTTAATCATACTTGCCTGGCAGGAAAGAATCTGGAGGCATGTGGTGCTTTGCCCCTGGCTTGAGGCCAGGAGCCCACCAAAGCCACTCTATCACTCCCCCTTCTTAGATGGACAGGGGAGAGGGAAAATATAGCAAGAGGCCTGTGGGTTAGGATAAGAACAGTTTAATACAGTAGAAAAGCAAAGACCGTGTGCGGAAGCAAAGCCAAATAAAGATTATTCTCCACTTCCCATCAGCATGCAATGTCCAACCACTTTCCCAGGAAGCAGGGCTCCAATATGTGTAGCAGTTGTTCCAGAGGACAAACACAAACAGCGAATGCCCCCCCGCTTCCCTCTTCCTTCTCGCTTTTTTATCTGAGCTGACGTCATATGGTATGGAATACCCCTTTGGCCAGTTTGGGTCAGCTGGCCCCCTACTGTTGGAGAAATGTTGGAAAACCACAGCCTTGGTGCTGTGTGAGGACTGCTCAGCAGTAGCCAAAACTCCGGGGTGCTATCAACACCCTTCTAGCTACTACTCCAAAAAACACAGCACTGTGAGAGCTGCTGTGGGAAAATTAACTCCATCTCAGCCTGACCCAATACAGGGGCTGATGGGCAGATGGCTGAACATGAGCTAGCAGGGTGCGGAGATGGCCAAGAAGGCCAACAGCATCCTGGCCTGTATCAAAAACAGCTTCAGTACCATGTTCAGTTTTGGGCACCACAGTGTAAGAAGGATGTTGAGGATCGGGTCTAGAAAAGAGCAACAAAGCTGGTGAGGGGTCTGGAGGACAAATCTTATGAGGAAGTGCTGAGGAAACTGGGGTTGTTTAGCCTGGAGAAAGGGAGGCTCGGGGGATACCTTATTGCTCTCCACAACTCCTTGAAAGGAGGTTGTAGTGAGGTGAGTGTTGCTCTCTTCTCTCAAGTTAGTAGCAATAGGACAAAAGGAAATGGCTTCAGATTACACCAGGGCACGTTTAGATTGCATATTAGGAAAAATTTCTTTACTGAAAGAGTGACGAGGCATTGGAACAGGAAGCCCAGAGAAGTAGTGGAGTCACCATCCCTGAAGATGTTCAAAAACCATGTAGATGTGGCACTTCGGGACATGGTGTAGTAGTCATGGTAGTGTTGGGTAGATAATTGGACTTGATGAACTTAGAGGTCTTTTCCAACCTTAATGATTCTATGATTCTATGACTGGAGGTAGTTAATATCTTTATCCTTTGGTCAGATATGGTTGAAATTGCCCCAAAGGTTCAAAAATAATTAGAGGGAAGAATTGGTAGATGAATGGACAGAACTAAAAGGCAGTGTGATTGCTGCTGTCCATCACCATATGTTGTCGACTGGTTGAGACTGAGCAGATCAATGAATTTTGGAAGTTTTTTCACTTCAGTACACCTGTCTATCTTCTATGACTTAAAAACATGCCACTGAGATTATTGAGACTCAGACCAAATGAAATTTTAAATTATTTTGCTTAATTATTTTGCTTAATTATTATTATTTTGCTTAATATATATATTATATATATGTGTAAAATATATAATATTTGCTTAATATATATTATTTTACTTACTATATATGTACTTATTATGTTACAGGTATGTATTAGTTAATTGTTAAACCTACCGTTTGATGTCTCCTGTTCTTTCTTTAGCTTGTTTACCTACTCCTAAGCTTTGTCATAATATGAATATGACCTTTCCAGTTACCTCAGATAGATTGTAGATATTCAACTTAGCTGCAATCAAAACAGAAAAGAAAATGGTACAACTCTTGAAATCCCACTCAGCACTGGCTCTTATGGTTAGCACCTCAGCTTCCTCTGCAGAGCAGGTTATCACCTCCTTTTATCAATGTCCCATGACTGGTCAGTTTGTTTTAGAATCGTTTTCAATAGTTTTCAATCATTTTTCTTGTTATGTACATGTACAACAGGGCTTGGGGCATACTTACTCAAAACAATGGTTATAAAAGTAAAAAGATTTGTGGTTAATAGCTATCCATCAAAGGATTGACAACCAACCTTATACCTTCTTTAATAGATTTGTCCATGTCTCTGCTGTCCAGACAGTTTTTTATTGCCATTTCAAATGGGCAAATATCAGTTTTCCTTAATTCTTTTCTCTCACTCTGTTTCCCTTGTTATTTAGGGAAAAATGTGATAATTTATCCTATTTCTGACTGTCTGAATTTGTTGAGGCAAATGATTATCAGTCACAAGAGGAAATTGCATACATCCTAGCAAATAGTTGAAATCGGTTTTTTTTTGTGCCAACATGATTTATGGTTGCATTGCTACAAACCTCAAAACATACCCTGAAAACCAGACCTTTTTAGTTCTTTTATTTCTTCTTGTAGTGCTATAAGGGATATAGACAGAAGAGATACAGTGAGGGAAGAATTTACTAATTTTTTCATTTAATATTGTTTTAAATATATCAGTTATTGCAGTTGTTAGCCTGCTTATAGTTACCCAGATTGTTTTTATACCATCTTTTGTAAGCTAAAACTATTTTATATTTTCTAGTCATATGGCACCATCCCCAGCTTTGTAACTCTATTAAGAAGCAGTTTTACATAACAGCTTTTTTTGTAATTCAGTCATAGAAATTATCTGATCCCCATCCAAATGTACTGCACTGATCATTAATTTTATTTCTGCCTCCCTTTCCACACCTCGTTCCCATTAGTCAGAAACCTCAAACTTGTTCTCAGTTAAAGAACAGGATTTGGGTGCTACTTGGTTGGTTTTAAACTGTTTAAACCTCTTTTTCAGTTTAGATAAACCCATTATTTTACTTCTCTTTCTGTAGTACATCTGTAAAAAAGCTACTGTTACTTTAATTTTCCTTGCAAACATTGACTCAACCTTTTTGTAGTACATATTTTGTCCCTGTATCTCTTGATGCAGGTAAATTTGATGAAAATTCCTTTCTGCCAACTCCATGTTTTTTTCTAATACCTCATTTCCTGATTTGTATTTGAAGATTTTTGCTTAAAAGTCCTCATTCCTTGCAAGCTTCAGCCATTATCTGTCTTTAATCAGTGATGAGGCAGGAAATCTTCTCTAAGTTCTCAGTATTAGATCTTTGTCTCAACCACTCCGCAGTCACCAAAAGGATTTGGCAAATAGTGTCTTCTGGTGACCACAGATATTTGTTCTGCAAACAGCCAAAGTGAAATATCCAGAGGTAGACCAGATTGAAGTGAAATATCCAGTGACAGACCAAATTGTAGCCCAAGTTTATTGACTTGTTTTAATGCTTGATGTTAGCCTGTCTGTAACTAATATACATTGTAAATGAGGTTCTCTTTTTGAGTTTTGTTTCTAGGGGACTGTATTAAACAGTTTGTAAATGTGCAAAAATATTCCCTACTAGAAGAAAAAAGTAGTTGAAAATTTACCACTTGTTCCCTTTTGTTTTTCAGGTATTGGTGGCAATCTAGTAGCTATTCAAGCTAGCAGAATTTCTACCTACCTCCATTTACATAGCATTCCTGGAGAGCTGCCAGAAGAAGCCAAGGGTTGCTATTATCCGTGCAGGACCTATTATGGTACAGGTATGTACTAGTTAATTGTTAAAACTACTGTTTCATGTCTCCTTTCTTTCCCTTGTTTATCTGCTCCTCAGCTTTGTCATTTGACTCCAAAAGTTCAAACCCACCTCCTATTTGGACCAAGTTTTATAGTATTTTATATATTTTATATGCTGCTAAGCCAAGTCCCTACATTCCATTTCCCATTTGTCATTTTCTTTCTAGGTTCTTGCTTCAGAGCTTATTCCTCTCCCCTGTATTGCCCCCTTTCCCAGTAAGGTAGTAACTGTGGTGAAAAGGGGTGTGTCAACACTGCTGTGAAATGAATTGGAACAGATAAGAAAATAGTAAATGTGGGATTACGTTTTAGAAATATAAGGCACTTTTGAGGATATCTTGAATATGGTATCCAAAACATTCTCTTTCCTAGGGAGCCTTTAGGAAAAACTGCAGCTCCAAAAAAGTAGATGATGTTACATGAGTACAGAGTGACAGCAGTTTGCATCCTCTTCTGCAAGAGCCTTGCTTAACTTTTCTGGGAGACACTAGAGGTGGCTTTTTTTCGCCCTGTGAAAATTCTCAAGGTTTTTAAGAACAAATAATGTCTGCTGTTCCATAATAGTCAATGCTGTGGAATTCTGAAACTGCTTTTTATATTGAAATTAATAAAAATCTAGTATAGTAATTGAAGAGCTTAACTGATTTTATTTTTTTTAATTGTAGGCGTAAATAACAAATCAGCCCAAGTTCTGCTTCTTTTGGTGATTCCTGGACACCTGATTTTCTTGTACACTATCCACTTAATGAAAAGCGGCCACACTTCCTTAACTCCGATCTTTATAGCAGTATACTTGTTTGCAGCTCTGCTACAGGTAAGAGCAAGTACAGTTTGAAAAGGGTTGTATAAAATCGAGTTCTTGGAGAAAAATATGTTTTATCTGATTTCTGAAATCTCATTAATATTACAGGAAGGCATGGGTTAGTTTTGAAGTGACTATCTATCGCCACATGCACACAGCTTGCACAGGTGTGTCTGTAGTGTGAGTGCTTTTCAGAAGACACTTGACTGCGTAATTTCTCAGTCATGCATCTTCCACTTTCTCTTTCACATGCTTCTTGGAATCATTTCATCCAAAACCCCCGTCATTTTAATCAACTAGAGGGGAGATGGAGAGAAAGAAAAGCAGCATTTATGAATAATGATTACATCAAGGAAAACTCTCAAAAAAAAATCTCGTAATTCACATTACTGTTTTGGTTAACATAGTCAAAGATGCAGCAGATGAGAATGTTATGGCTTGCTTGGCGCATTCTTAATACTTAGTAAAATTGGGATTAGTCTGACAGTGATCACTGTACAAGAAATTGGAGTTGCATTGACTGTCAAACACGGTTGCATTATTTTGGCAGGTTTTACCTAGTGGCCTTTTCACACCCAGCAAGCACAGTTCTTGAAAGATGCCTTTTGAAATAGCAATGCCTTGAAGTGAAATAATTTCACTTAGAGAAATCAGTACTACAAAATGAAATGTGTTTATTAAATCCACAGCCAATTTTTAGCTAAAACTTGACTGAATTGACTGTAATATTTCATTATACCTTAAAAGAAAAATTGTTTGTGTTACACAATAAAAATGCAGTTGAAATATCCGTAAGTTAAATACGCATACTACTTCTAACAATGTGGCCAATTTAGTTCTAAATTGACAACAACGTTATCATCAGTCATCTCTAGTAAAAATTACGATTTCTAATGTTCTGAATTGTATTTTTGTGTTTATCACACTCAATATAGGTTTAAAAAACTGTTACTATTTTAATTTCATATGGAAATTTTATATTTTTTGTAGGAATGTAATGTTTCAACCTTTGCAAATGAGAATGTCATACTAATAGTTACAAATTACTTTTCATTTTCCTCTTACATAACATTCCTAGTTTCCAGCCTTATCACCTCTTTTATAATGTGTTTTCCTGCAGAAATGATGCTGTTCCTTCACCCTGTCTGTTCTGGCTGTCTGGATCTCCGTTCTAATTACTTTTAGCCCATTTCCTTTAGCCCATTTCAGTCAAGTTTTTCTCAGTCTCAGCACTCTCGGTGATACTAAGTTCCTATAAGCTTAACAAAAGCAGGTTAGGAGGGGTTAATGCCTCTGCTGAAGGTAGATCTGTGATTTCAGCTGTTATTAGACTTCAGAGATTTGGCATGGGAATCAACCTAAATTCATAAATCCATTTGAAATCCATACAGTCCTCCTGCTCACAGAACTTCAATTGTAAAGTGTTTTCGGGACACAAACCTTTTCTTCAGCAGCAAAGGGTAGGGTAAGATGTGAGAAATGCAGAAGTCCGGCTGAAAACCAAGTCAAAGTGCTACGGCAGGACTTTCGGATCATACGGTAATTCAGACTCATCATCGGCACACGCACACACAAAAAAGTCGATTTTTAAAAATTCAAGGTTTGATTATTCAGTTTTGCAGTCATGCATCTCCCCTGCCATCCCTAAGGCCACACTCGATTTTATTGGGTTTTCACCTATAAAGCAGACATCATAGAGCTTTTTTTTATAGATTTTTTTCCTCTTTATCTTCTGTCTTTAGCCATAACAGGTAGTTTGAGATGTATTTACTTTGAAACTGAGCAATAGTATTGCACACTGTAACTTCTCATGGATCTTGACAGTTTTATAATTTGAAACCCCATGTTTTTTAACACTTGAAAATATTTAATAGATTCTTTTCCCCATTTTAATTATTGTGGCATTTTTCTAGTGGTGATTATACATACCTCTAATCAGAGCAGGTTTAAAATTTTTGGAGAGATGATTCTTGCTCTAACCCTTAAAACATGAACATGTTTTGTTAGCCTGTCAGTCTGAGCACTTCCCTACTGTAGTTATATGCTTTAGGTTTCTCCTTTCTCAAGGAAAACAGTTAAATATTCGTACATTCTCCTTCTTCCCTTTTTTTTCAGTGACATCATTCATGCACCTGGATATAGTAAAAAACAGTTTTCAAGCTGGCATTTCTTTTGGCATAAGCCAACATCTACTAATCTCATTTTTCCAGTTTTTTTAAATATTTTTGTCCTCCCAGTGAGAACTTCTCCATTTCTGCTGTAAAACTGAAAAACCTCACAGCTAATTATTGTCATTTCGATTATCAACAAAATAGGTCCATTGACAGACTTTAGGGCAGTGAGAAATCTGCATTTTAGGGCTTTTTTTTGGTACTATATTAAACTTTCATTTATTTTCATATTATATGGAAGGCATATGAAAATGAATGTCAAAAATTACATGCCTTGTAATTACAGGCCCTCATGCAGGCTCTGTCTTTTATGTTTGATGTGGTAGACGATAATTTAATGGAACAGAGAGAATTAATTATGGACAGTCCTGTATTTGAGGAGGTTTGATATCAGTGCTTTGCCCTTTCCAGTTCCTTACTCGTATTGAGCTCAAGGGTGGGAAGGGTAGCCGAATAATAGTTATGGCAATATACCACCTATTTTGGTTTTCTCCACTATGTTAAAAGATTAATGCTAAATTAAAAAACAACAGCAACAAAATGAATTTCTATCTTTAAAATTTGTTAATTAACGATCTATTTCAGTCCACTGTAAAATATGCTGTTAAATAATTTAGCATTTTACGGTAGTCACTTCAATATATCTCTCTTCCTCTGTCAGTTTATGCTATTCCACATTATCTGTACAGCAAACTTTTAACATATATGAATACATTTTAACAAGACCAAGACTTTTTCAGAGTGCCTGTAAACATCAATAATCTTCTTTGCAGAGTGATAAAATGAAATTCATTTGCATTGCAAGCTCTATAAAATATTACTGAAGTTATCTTCCTCCAGTTCTGATACTTTCATTGTTTGATTTTTGATTTTTCACCACCCATGCCTATTAGCTTCTTTTCTCTCTTCGTTCTACATGTTCTTAGATACTGTCTCCTCAGCTTGTAATTTAATTGAAATATTTATGAGAAATAAGGAATTAATATGACATGATGTACATTAACAATAGTATGTTTTAGTTATTATTGGTCAGAAATATGTTATGTAAGAAAACAAAGTATAGTTTCATTGAATCTGTAAGTGTTTCTAAAACTTACTAAGTTAAAGATATCTTTAAATATCATTATTATGATCTGCATTCTCTCTGATTATCTATGAACAAAACTGTTCTGGGTTTCTAGACTTAAGAAACCCAAGAAAGTGTTTTGCATTTTTTTCTTTTAATTTCCCTA